CTGTCCTCAAACAACACAACGCTGACGCAAAAATTCTACCAACGAAATAAAGTAGGTATAGCCTACCACTGCTCTCTCACACTGTAGAAATATGGTTCAAACTAATTCCAAAACAACTATCTCCACTTCATAATTCGAAGTTTTAAAGGATTTCTAACCAACTCTCCTACAACTACATTCCTGCTAATCCTTTTCACTGAAGCTCAAAGCTACATCCACTAGAAGTCTTTGGCAAGTCAAACAATATCTCATCAGAGCGCAAGGTGTAACAAACTCCCTTAGTGCAAAATACACACCAACAAAAGAAAACTAGGAGATGGCGACACCCGACCAAACCACTATAACAAAAAACAGCTAATCCACTCGCCAATGTATCAAGTAAAAACTCCAGTTTATTTTTTACAAGCAAAGTAAAATCATAAGCATTACAGCCCAAGATATTATTATTAGTAAGAGGCGTGGCAATATTTAAAGTAGTAAATAATCTGTTGAGAAATAAAATCACAACTTCTGAGTCGGCTAAGTCCTGTATACAATAAGTTTTAGCTACCAAAGGATGAAAAAACATGAGGATTAAAAGGAAGTACAAAACCCAACAACTTCACAAGTGAATTAGAGATATGGAAGAATATTTTCCTGAATCTGCGAATCTAATTCTTCCAAAGAACGTTTTTTCAACTCCAAACAACGTGACATCTGAAAAAAAAAAATAATAAGAACTCGAGAAATAGTTCAAGATAAGTTTTATTATATAAAATTTCTCAATGTGCAGCAACTTAATAAGCAATACGCACATCTCCAATCCGCCTCTTCAAATGTTCCATCTGTTCTTTTTCAGTGGCTGCTTCTTGGATAGCTGTTACAATGTCGCTCAACTGTATCGATTCGGTTTGATATGTGGATATGACAGGGGAGTTGGCCTGAAATTCAAAGACAGAAATTTGTTATGATAATAAAAAAGGCTTGAAACACAAGTGCTGAAACTCCTAACAAAGCTAACGATTATTTAACAAAATAATTGGCGGTAATCACATTACCTCATATAAAGTTTAAGATTAACCAGAAGGAACTATACTGTTGACCTTACCAGTTTCTGGTATAACAAATCCTTTTCCCGATCCACCAACAGGGCAATTTTGGGAGGACAGGTCGATCTGAGCTCTGTGACTGCTAGTAATCTCTTATCTACTTCCCGTCCAGCGGCGCTTTTTTCTTGTTGTACGTTGAAAAGTTTTTCTCTCAAAGCTACAATGAAAAGTAATGACAACTATTACTTTCACTTCTCTTGACAGTCAAACGTACTAAAATGGTAAATTACGACGATTATATGATCGACGAACAGTTTGGTAGTTTAAGTTTATGAAACTATGAACCACACAACTTTTAACTCCATGAGAGCTACTCTGTCCAAATTCTGTTCCAGCACGTGTGTAAAGTGAAAGAAATACTGTCTTTGTGAGATACCAGTTCTAACTTTTACAACAATTTTTGCAACGCTCAACGATTACCTTGATTCACAATCACTTGACTGTTATGCTTCAAAGAAGTTGAACTCATTGCCAAAAAAAAGTGTTTTAAACAAATTTCTCCAAACTTTAAGGCTCATCACTCTACATCGTAAAAAAACCTTAACGATATTCTCTGATACGACTGAACAAAACGGTACACCGTTTAAAAAATATCTGCAAAGAAACGGTACATAAACGAATATACTACGACTAAAAAGACTTAACTGTCAGAAAAACTAATCTCACAGAGCTAAATTCTCTCCAAATAATGTCACAGGTTCAGAATTAAATTACCTTTCACGTGAACGACCATCCCATTTGGTTATAGGTAACTTTATGGAACACGATTATCACTTTAAGTAAGCCTTTGCCGTTACCACAGAACTAAAAGCAAAATAAAGTAGATAAAAAGAGCGTAATCATTAACGGCATCTATGAATAAATTTGCAACTATCAACATTGCAACCAAAACTACTAGACGAGAAACACAATAAGGCAGTTACCAATACAAAATTTAACAAAACAGGAAGGAGAGTAAACCTAAAGAAGACTTTCACGATTAATTAAAAACAACACAAGAAGATCAGTGAGAAAATGAGTGTATATAATCGCTCAAACATTTCAAACTTCCCGCAAAAAAAAAAATTGAATTTGAAGCCAACACGCATGTCTCC